CCCATCAAGACAAATCCTGGGCCCCTCATGTCTGTTGCATAACGTGTGTGAAAAATTTAACTGACTGTAAGAAAGGTGCATGACATATGCCGTTTGCTGTACCCATGATATGGACTGAACAGCGAGATCACGTTTCAGATCGCTATTTTTGTCTCACAGACATAAAAGGTATAAATTACAAGAAAAAAACCACAGTTATTTACCCTAACTTATCTTCGGCTATAAGACCAGTCTCTCATTGTAAAAAATTGCCAGAACTAATACCAGTTGCAACTACGTCTGTTGAGAATAATTCACAACCGTCCACTTCAGGTGAATGTGTTGACGAGGACGATGACTTTGAGTTAAAAGGAATTGTAAACGAGCCACATTTGATAACTCAAGGAGACCTAAATGATTTGGTTCGGGATTTAAATTTGTCAAAAAAGCAGTCAGAACTATTAGGATCACGTCTAAAAGAATGGAATTTGCTACATCATAATACGAAAGTTAGCTATTTTCGAAACCGTGATCAACACTTCAGAACGTATTTTTCTCAGGATGGAGATTTGGTGTTTTGCAATAACATAAATGAGATTATGAAAATGTTGGACAGATTTTGATCTCTCTCAGTGGCGTTTATTCATTGATTCTTCGAAAGCAAGTCGAAAAGCAGTGTTGCATAATGGAAATAAGCTTCCGTCTGTACCGCTGGCCCATGCTGCAAATATGAAAGAAACCTATGAAAATATGAAACTTTTACTTGAAAAAATAAATTACAGTACATATTCCTTCAAAATCTACGGTGATCTTAAAGTTGTTGCACTATTACTTGGACTTCAGCTGGGTTATACAAAGTTTTGCTGCTTTTTATGTGAATGGGATAGCCGAGACAGAACTAATCACTATAATAAAATAAATGTGCTTCTACCACCATTGCATATCAAATTAGGATTAATAAAAAATTTTGTGAAGGCAATGGATCGCAATGGGAGTGGATTTTTGTATCTAAAAGAAAAATTCCCTAAAATAAGTGATGCAAAGATAAAAGAGGGTATTTTTGTTGGCCCTCAAATTAGGGAGTTAATAAAAGATGCAAGATTTGAAGAAAAATTAAGCGATTTAGAAACATCTGCATGGAAGGCTTTTAAAAATGTTGTTTCAAATTTTTTGGGTAACCACAAGAGTGACAGCTACAGAGAGTTGGTTAGCGAGCTATTATTGTCATATCAAGCATTGGGTTGCAACATGTCACTTAAGATCTATTTTTTAGACTCGCACCTGGATTTTTTCCTGACAATTTAGGGGCTGTCAGCGACGAGCACGGTGAGAGGTTCCATCAGGACATTTCTAATATGGAAAAGCGGTACCAGGGCAAATGGAGCCCAAATATGTTAGCAGATTACTGCTGGACAATTAAAAGGGACCAACCAGAAGCTAAATATTCAAGAAAATCTTAGATTATTAAGTCATTTATAAAAAAAATAACTTTTGATTTACGAGATCTGTGTTTTTTCTTAATATTTTAAATTACTCAATAGAATAAAATCCTTGTCTAGCTAATTTTTTTTAACTGTTTATTTTTTCTTACAATCACCAATTAAAGTAAAAAATATCAAAAAAGTCCGTGTGGCACGACAAAGTTAAAATTTTGTTGACCAGTGTAATTTCTTTGGGATAGAAAACGTCAAACAATATTTTCTAGGATTCTCCGGTGTCAAAACCGTTATTATTTTAATGATTGCAGCCTGTAGGCGTACGTGAGGTAGTGAAATTGACGCAGCTGTTACTTTCTATCGAATCTGCCCTTTCCAAATAATGCTTGCCCAGCTGTCGTTTTCCTTCGATTTTGAGCTTGTATTTACGCAAGTCATTTGTACCTTTCGCTCCCCATTTAGAGGAAGGGACGTCAGTGTATGGAGTGATATCGTCGTACGACAGAATACATGTGTGTAAAAGGCGCTTAACGTCCAAGGAAAAGCATTGAGGCAATGTTTTCTCCAAAAACGAATCGATTTCGAGTTTGCGATGCTTTTGCATTTGCAAGGCGGATTACAAAAAGCTCTAATTGAAAGAAAAATCGCATGATCAACGTATTAGTACCAAACATTGTACATCACCAAAATTTGTAACATGTTGCTTGAATTTCAACTCTGAATCGATAACGACCGCTACATTCTTTGCATAGTGCACTACAGGAATACACGTATTATTAAGATTAACGGCAAGATGATTCTCATAGCTTTATTTTGTAATATTTGTAATTTTGAAAATACAGATTCATTTGCAATGAACAAAATAGTCGAACAACATAACAAATGAGGAAGAATGATAGTGTTGCACACAATTTTTTTAGAATAAACGCTTAGGCTATGTGAAATTCTGTAAAAGTAATTTATTTTCTTTGATATTTTTGAAATAATATATTCATAGTGCTCTTCAAATTTTAATTTACTGTCTACGTATATGCCCAAATATTTAAATGATTCGATCGATACAATTTTTTCATGACTAATTGTAAGATTCATCGTATTTTGATCTAAAGATTTGCCTATTAGCATATATTTTGGTTTTGTTTGTGTTTAGTTTGAGTTTACATTTAACCAATTTATTACGTTTTTCATATCATTATTTAACAGCTCTATTGCAGTTTCAATGTCTTTATATGATATATATATATATATATATATATATATATATATTCCTGCTTGAAATTTTAACAATATCTTATTTTCTTCTGTATATTCAATGACTTGTTCATATATGATTCCTTCTAAGAGCTTCTCGACATCTGGCAGTACATTAATTGACCGCATGTTTGTATATAACTCAGAATTTTGCACTTTTGTCTCTCGGTGAATATCCCTTAATCAAAGGTTTTTTTTCCAAAAACGATGAAACATCTTCATCATTAACCGAAGCTCCTTCTCCCAAAAATCGCTTTAAAACTTATATTGTGGCAAATTCTAAATTTATTGAACCAACCAGAAGAAGCACTGAATGTGGAATGTCCCAGAGAATGGTATTAGAGGACAAAAAACAAAATAAGTTTTTTTTGCGTTTTTGTCACGGCAAAATGATAATCTCACTCTTGTTATCTATGTAAGAATGGATACGTAAAGGAAACCCACGCATGAATACAAAAAAAACTTACCTAAAAAAGAATATGCATACATACCTGTCAAAGGAATCCCCTTTTGAAGAGCTGATTTACCAGTAGTCATAACACAATTTTGTCAATTTTGGTACCATCACTCGTCAAAAAGCTTCTTTTTTCCATTCAAATTGACGTCCGACATCCATTTCTTTAAAAGGATTTCTTTATGATTAATTATATCTGCGGCTTGTGTTTTTCCAATATTGAAAGCCTGGATAATTTTGTTTTTTGTTCGGTTAGGAGATGGCAAATTATATGAGAGTTAGTCGGCACAGTGAGAAACTGTCCGTTTAAAGGAGGTGTCCTTTGTATTTTTTTTAGCAAAAGTTTTTGAGAAATTACTCCTTAATAAAATGATTAATTTTCTTAATAAATTCAAAATTCTAAATTCAAATCAATATGGTTTTATAGCGGGCAAATCTACAACAGATGGAGTATTAAGTATAGTAGATGAAATAACCCAAAATATAGATGGAAAAGTACCATCGATATGCGGACTTGTGGACTTACAAAAAGCGTTTGACACAGTTAACCACAATATACTTTTGGAAATCTTAGAAAGAATAGGTTTTCGTGTAAAGATGTATACTTTAATGGAAAATTATTTATCAAATAGACCGCAATCAGTAAAATTATTAAGCTCGTATAGTAAAGAAATGTTTGTTAAATGTGGTGTTCCACAAGGTACAATTTTGGGTCCTCTGTTATTCAATATTTATTTAAACGATATATTCAAAATTAACAGTACTGGTAAAATAGTCAGTTTTGCAGACGATACTGCTATGCTCTATAAAGGTAAGGATTGGAACGACTTAAAAGAAATTATCCAAAATGACTTGCAAAATTATTCAGTGGTTTAATAACCGAAAATTAACAATTAACTTTACTAAAACTGATTTTTTACCATTTTCATCACTATCTAATCATCTACCAAAATATAACCACCTTCGGTTTAAGGTAAATGATAAAAATATAAAAATCAATAGAGTTAATGATACAAAATATTTAGGAATTTATCTAGATCCCCACTTGAGATGGGATGTACATATTTCTCACATACTAAAGAAAATTAGATTCATAGCATATAAAATAAAATTTCTAACCGGTATATTAACTGAATATTATCTACGAATAATATATCAAGCTTTAGTCGAGCCACACATAACATATGGTATAGTAGTGTGGGGTGCTGCATGCACGACATACTTTAACGATTTAGATGTACTTCAAAGAAGAATTTTAAAATCAATGTTAGGCAAATCAAAATTATACCCAACTAATGACTTATATAATGATGCACAAGTATATGATACTAAACAACTTTACTTCTTACATACCATCACTCATTATCACAAAACTATTAGTGAACACGACATAATTAAACATAATCATAAAACCAGATATAAATTACGCGCAAAAAATGTTCCTAAACCAAACAAATCCCTAATGAAACGATGTCACCTGTATATAGCTCCAAAATTGTACGAACATTTACCAAATAATTTAAAACAATTACGCAATACATTAAGCTTCAAAAAAAATTAAAAAAATTTATTAACACGATTGGGAGAAATCAAATTAATAAAATAATCTCAAATATTACACAATAAATGCTCTACCATTCTTACCAATAATTTCTTTTTTCTCTCTATTTTATTATATTTTGCAATTCAACATACATATGATCCATGCACAGGCGTTGTCCTCCTATGGATATATTATATTTATTTACTCGTTTCATGTTCCCTGTATTTTAGAGTAAATAAATATTATTATTATTATTATTATTATATTAGGGAAACTTCACTGTATATGGTGTGTAAAGTCCTAACTTCTAGAAAAACCTTATATTCTCGTGTTTCAGAGCTGGATAAACGTATCCGCGACCACCTAGACATGCCTATAGCTCTTCACACGGTAGTGAAACGTACGCAGCTAGCGCAACGTCTGCACGAGCAGGACGAGCAACTGCTGCGCAACTGCGAGAAGCTCGTCCACGAACAACACCTGCAGCAGCAGGGCTGGTCAGCGGTGGTCGCGAACCTGGAAGACCTCACCGTCGAGTTCCGTAGGCGGTCGGAAACGTTCGATATGTGCTTCAGCGATTTCATGAGTGGAAGGGAGGCCTACTACTCTTTTCTCCAATAGTGAGTGTTGAGTTTACGATGAATGATTTTACTATAAAAGAAAAAATAATGTTTATTTGCAACATACATTTTGGATAAATTAGTACGTTGCATCAAAATACATAAATGAAATGTTTCAAAAAGGGCTGAAGGTATTGATAAATGGTCTAAGTTCGGCCCTGTAGCTATTACAGATTTATATAAAAAAATATCTACCTTGGAAAGTGGTAGTAAATAAAAACTTTCCTCAGTTTGATCGCTTTTGCCTCATTAGTGCGTAGTGAAATTATGGACATTTTAAGGGTAAAACCATTAAGCTGTCAGAATTGACATATTTTCGTTTCAGCTTTCATAGTGACCTGGAGGTGCTTCAGAGGATACCTGTTCTATCTGTGTTAGTAGAGTTAGATAAACAAAATAGGCGAAATTTAGAAAAGGCCAAAAAATCTGCAGAAAAAGAACAAGCAGAAGAATCTAAGACATCATTGGATGAATCGAAAACGTCGTTAGAGGTGGAAAAACTGACCGTTGATGAGCCCACCACCAATAAAGACGTCTCCCTTTTTGATTGGATTTCTACGGCAGATGATAAAAATACGCTCGACCAACTTTACGAGCACTGCACCAAAGGCCTCGAAACGGTAAATATTTATTTATATTTCTAGGTGTTGGCTTTACATGTGTCGCGTTTCGGTCCCAGGTCTCCACATTCAGCCATACTTTGATGTGTGATGTGTTTTATATACAGGGTGACTTTGAAGTTGAGTCATTAATTTTCAGATAATGATTAGAAGGAAGATAAACCAAAATATGTGTGTAAAAATAAAAAAAAAAATAAAAATTTTTTTTTACCTTGTTTTATAAAGTATCCTCCCGACAAGTATTTCAGTGCGGACCTGTATTTGATCGTGAGGTCTTGGAGCACCTGCATGCCGTCACCTGATTCACGTTGTACTACATTAACAAAGGCACGAGGGGTTGGTTGCACTCGATTGGGAAACCGATCCGCATAAACATGTGCCATTTTTTATTTCGTTTGAGCCACGCAACAGACACCACTATTCACTGACACTGACTGTATTCAAATGAATAAAATAATTGTAAAAACATCGTTCCAAATTCTTTCGCTTTTTTGTTTCCGATGCGATGAACCGATACGGCGGATTATATCCGTTGTCACCAAACACGAGCACATAATATTATTATTGAGACAGGGCGGTACTCAAACTTCCAAAGGGCTATAACTTTGTTACTTTAATTTTACCAGAAAAATGGTAAAGGAAAAAAACATTTCTTTTGATCAGATCTACTCACTGTTAAAATAAATGACTCAACTTTGAAGTCACCCTGTATATTTTACCATTTGAAGTCTAATTTATTTTTCTCGCTCTATTTTATTACAAAATTATGACCATATCGACTGGACTATGGTGATCCGCGCTGCTGAATCACCGGTCGACTGAGTCTGGAGACACTCCGCCCTCTGTGCGTGTATTTATCTTCCAATCGACGAATCTAGGAGTGTTCTAGACAGAATTCGATTCGTGACGAACGTGGAATCACTTAATTGCGTCGATGCTACGAGGGTTATTTATTTCTGAAGTTCTACGAGTGGTTATTTTAATAATAAATATTAATCTCTTTTATAGTTTAACGGGAGAGCGATAAACACCTTGAAAAGCGAAATTAGGGCATGTCTGTTGGAAACGGACAATAATAAAATGAAAGAGGTCAAAGGATTGGGCGAGCGATTATTCGGATTGGAAAACCTGATCGTCAAAATAAAAATGTTAGTGAAGAGCCAAAGTGAACTGGCTCAATCGTTTGTAAATGTAAGTACATTTTCAGAAACTTTTGTATGATTTGCGTATTTATCCGAGAGCTATATGTCGGTTGTATTTTTTTTTTACAGAATCAAAGTAGAGCTAGTAATACTAAGGATCCTTCAGTTTTGCCAGACTTGTGTATGTCACACAAGCAACAGTTGCAAATGATGGGGCAGCATCACCGAGAAATAGTGGATATACGAAGGAGGATTATTGCTGTAAGTAAAAAATAGTCCATATCTCGCAATTTTGCATTTTCCATGTATATGCATTTTTTATGAACAAAAATGAAAACGTATGTAGTCATGTAATTTTCACTCATCAAACTTGGGTTAAACCCAGCTTCGTGCGGTTTGATTATTTGTTGTAGATTTATTTAGCATCAATGTTACACAGTTTTCAAGCCTAAATATTTTTATACAACATTTCACTACTATGAGCTTTGGTTTCCTATGAAGTATTTTTTCAATTTTCCTTTAAACATTTTCAAACTGGCGCACACATCTTGATATCATTATTTCATTTATTAAATTCGTACAATCCTTTTTGAAATTCAGATTTGTTTGTTATATAACTACTAAAATTTTGTAAATGGAAGTTTATACTCCCTCTAGTAGAATAACTATGGTACTCATTGCTCAATTCAATAAAATTTTCTAAGTGATTTGGTAGATGATTTCTTTAACTTGAATATGAAAATGAAAACCAAGTGGATTATGACATTTTTGATATTTAATCATTGTAGTTCTTTGAGCATAAAATGTATTCTGGTATATTTATTTTTATTTAAGATGTTTCTTATACCTTTATTTTTTAATATTTGTAATTTTGAAAATGCAGTTTCACTTACAGTGAATAAAATAGTCGAACAATATAATAAATGAGGAAGATGATGAATATTGTTCACAATTTTTTTAGAATAAACACTTAGGCTATGAGAAATTCTATAAAAGTAATTTATCTTTTTTAGTATCTTTGTAATATGGGGTTGTCCAAAACGGACGCAGGAAAGTAAACGCATATTAAAACAAGAAAGATTGATATTCAAATCAAGTTGGGTACTTTATTTTGAAGGTTCATTTATACCATTTATGTATGAAAAATAATATCGTTCAAATGTTCACCACGACTGGATTTACAGACGTTCACGCGATGGTCGAAATTTTCAATGACATTTTGCAACATGGTCGGTTCTATGGCATTTATCTCGGCAATGATGTTGTTTTTCAGTTCTTGGAGGGTGGCTGGTTTCTTGACGTAGACTTTGCTTTTCAAATATCCCCATAAAAAGAAGTCCAAGGGAGTCAAATCGCACGATCTTGGTGGCCATGACACATTTCCTCTGCGCGAAATCACGCGATCACCGAAGAAGGACTGCAATCGATGGATATTGACGTTGGTTGTGTGGCATGTTGCACCGTCTTGTTGGAAATAAACATCCTCCATATCCATTCCTTCAAGTTGCGTCAAAAAATAGTCCTCTATCATCACGTGATATCGCTCAGAATTGACGGTAACGGCGTCCCCGGCCGCATTTTCGAAAAAGTAAGGTCCGATGATGCCTTTTGACCACAATGCACACCACACAGTCACTTTTTGAGGATGCATCGGCTGCTCTTGATACTCACGGGGATTTTCGTTCGCCCAGATGCGGCAGTTTTGCTTGTTTACCGTCCCATTCAAAGTGAAATGCGCTTCGTCGCTGAACATGATTGTTGATGAAAAATTGGCATCAATTTGGCAGTGTTCAAGGAGCCAATCTGAGAACGTTCGGCGCGAAAAATGGTCGGCCCGACGCAGCTCTTGCGTCAATTGGATCTTGTAGGCGTGTACATTCAAATCCTTGTGGAGAATGCGGAGCAAACTGGTTCTCGAAATGCCCAATTCTTGGGATCGACGCGTTGTTGATAGATTCGGATCGTCTCTCACACTCTCCTTCACAACAGCAATATTTTCCGGTGCGCGAACGCTCCTTGGCCGGCCAGAGCCTGGCGATTTGCCACAGAACCTGTTGCCTCGAATTTACGCACCAGACGACCGATGGTTGTTTCGTTTGGGCGGTTGTTGCGACCGAAATGTTCACGAAGCGCGCGAAACGTGTTTTTTATTTTTGCACCATTTTTGTAGTGCTCTTGAATAACTTTAATGCGGACTTCAATCGAATACGACTCCATAGCGATCAATGGTAAACATTCAACTAACAAAATGACATGTCGGTGACAGAAAACAAAGATGGCGTCTATGTCAAATTGACGTTTACTTTCCTGCGTCCCTATTGGACAACCCTTTAGTATATTCATAGTGCCCTTCAAAATTTAATTTACTATCCACGTATATGCCCAAATATTTAAATTATTCGAGTGACCCAATTTTTTCATACTTAATCGTATTTTCGTCTAAAGATTTTTCTATAAGCTTACATTTTGTTTTCTTTGCATTTAATTTAAGTTCACTCACATTCAACCAATTATGTTTTTCATACCATTATTTAACAGTTCTATGGCGGTTTCAATGTCTTTATTTGATATATATGTTCACGTATCATCAGCAAATATTTGAATTTTGCAGTGGAGTAAAACATCAGGAATATCCTTAATATATACTGGGTGCGCCATCTATTACTTTTTTTTACCTATAAGTTTATGTGTTACGATGTGAGTCAAAAGTCATAAATGAACTGTCAAAGGTATGCCATTTATAGTAATGGATTCGTTTACAACACAAGAACGCATTTTGGTTATCCAAACTTATTACGAAAACGGTCGAAATATAAAAAATACTTTTCGCAAACTTCGCGCTAGTTTTGGTCGACATGGGTGCCCTACAGAGTCTGGAATTCGTTGGATTGTTAATCGTTTTGAGGAAACTGGTTCAGCTGAAGGTCGTAGACCATACCAACATGCAACAATTGGGAATTAGTGAGACCACTTTACGCCGGATTTTGCTCATTGATTTCCACCTCCATCCATACAGAATCCAACTAACACAAGAATTGAAGCCGGCAGACCATAATAGCGGCGTGTTTTTGCTAATTGAATGCTGGAAAGAGGAGACAGATTTTCGGCCTAAGTGCTATTTTCTGATGAGGCTCATTTTCACCTCAATGGGCACGTAAATAAGCAAAATTGCAGATTCTGGGGGGCTGAAAATCCACACCAATATCATGAACAACCTCTCCATCCTGGAAAAGTGACTGTTTTGTGCGGATTATGGGCTGGTGGCATCGTTGGACCATTCTTCTTTGAAGATGCCGAAGTCAACGGGGAACGTTATCGCGGCATGTTAACAGACTTTTTGTGGCCACAATTGGATCGTATTGGTGGCGACGATCTTTGGTTTCATCAAGACGGAGTAACGGCTCACACATCTTATTATTGCACACGAAATTTCAAGACCGCATAATTTCACGAAATTCAGATGTCAGTTGGCCCCCGAGATCGTGCGATTTAACACCTCTTGACTATTTTCTTTGGGGATTTTTGTAAGGCAAAGTGTATGCGAATGGTCCCTGGACAATTCAAGACCTGAAGCGCAATATTCGGACTGAAATTGCGGCCATAGACCCGATTATTCTGGGAAGAGACATTGAGAATTTTGATGTCCGGATGTTGGCCTGTAAACGAAGCCGTGGTGGTCACATGACTGATGTTATTTTTCGTACATAAACGGCATAAACCAACCTTCATTTATCAATAAAAAAATTCGATTTCACCTCGTTAGAAGCGTGTTGATTTTTCAAACAGAAAAAAGTAATAGATGACGCACCCTGTTTAACATAAACAGTAATGGACCTAATTTGCTACCTTGTGGCACACCTACCGAAATGTTTTTAATGCTTGATAGTGTATCGCCAATTTTAGTTGTTTGACTTCTATTGATTAACTCATTTTGCAATATGTTACTTCCATAGCAATGCAATTTCTTTTATCTTCCATATTTCGCCTTCATTCTTTTACTATTATCTGGATTGCTGTTTCAGTAGAATATTTTTTTTCTGAATCCCTTGAAATTTTGTCAATAGGTTGTTTTCTTCAATATATTCAATGATTTGTTCACGTGTGATTCGTTCTAGGAGCTTCTCGACATCGAATAAATAATCACTAGGAAGCCAAAAATTGACAATTTAGTAAATGTATTTTGCAGGCTAAAGACGAACTAAGCCTCAATTTATATCACCGGTTACGTTGGGTAATGTACCTGGAAGAGAAAATCGTAGAAACTGATCATAGGTTGGTGATGTATTATGAAAATTTGAAGAGATTGCGGCATCATCTACAGGTCTTACAACAAGTACACTTGGCGCCTGTTACGTATCTCAACGCTGTAGCCGAGGTGGTAAGGAGAAGGGCCTTCTCGCAATCCTTCCTATTGGTATGTAACTTTAATATCAACACTTTTTGTGGTCTTGTGGTACAGCATGCGTACCAGGGCCGCGTGCCAAAATAATATATATATACAGGGTGTCCCAGAAGTCGACGTGAAGCCGAAACCGGGTGATAGGCAAAGTTATAACAGCTATCAGAAAAATATTTAAAAAAATTTTATGTATGTGTTTTGAAAATTATAGGTCTTTGAAAAAAATATAGAAATTTCACACCCTACGGCAGTCTGTCAACTCCTGATACTGCAGATATTAACTTTTTTTGGATTTTATTTTTACAATGTAATGATGAATAATGCATCTTCAAACTGGTGTCTCAACCTTACTGCCAACTTTTCTCGTTCAGGAAAAATTGCCACTTATTTCCCAACCAAGTATTCCAAAGTAAAACTTTGCTCAACTTTAACTGGCTGTACTGGAAAAAAATGTACTACGAGAGTTTGGCAAGTAACCTTAAAAGTTGGCGCATTTAATAAGGATTCCAAAATGGTATAACACTTGGAAGATTACTCGTTAACTTATGCACAATTTTTATTTGAAGAAAAACTGATGAAAATTTTTCAAAATTTCCTAATTAAACAGCGATTATGAAAACGCACAAGGACCCTTAAGGATAACTGTTTGCACAACAGTGGGCGTCAAAATGCTGCTGATGATGATTTACCTTTACAGCAAATGCTCAAACTGTTTTCCTTCAGCCGCAATACACCCTCGACATCTTAAAAAAGATCGGGTTATTAAACGAGCGAATCCACGGTTATTAACAAACTCAGCTGCTTCCAATAGTCTTTGCCGTAGCTCAGCTACATTTTGAATCGGCTTGAAATACACTTGTTCTTTTACAGTTCCCCAGTAAAAAAAATCTAACGGATTCAAATCTGGTGACCGGGCTGGCCACGGTATTGTACCAGACCGCCCTATCCATCTGCCTGGAAAGTTTTGATCGAGATACTCTCTCACTGAGAGTGCATAGTGCGCTGGGCAGCCATCATGCTGAAACCACATGTCCCCGTAAATACTCAGTGGCACGTCCTCCAATAAATTTTCTGAATGATTTTGCAAAAAACCTAAATAAACTTCAGCAGTCAAAGTCTCTGGGAACTCAAACGGACCGATTATTTTACCATTTAAAATTCCTATCCAATGGATTATCTTGAAGCGATATTGAGATTTATCTTCTCTCATCAAATGTGGGTTTGCTACGTGCCACTCGTGTAAGTTATGCAGGTTCATGTACCCATCTTTCTTAAATGTGGTCTCATCTGACCATAAAATTTTTTCAAAGAACCGTGGATCTTCCCTGTGTCTTTCTAACATTGTGCGACAAAAAGCAACTCGGGGCTCATAATCCCGGGGCAGAAGAGCTTGAACACGCTGTACGTGGTATGGATGGAGCACGTTTTTTTGCAAGATTCTGTGGGCTGTACTTTTGGGCACACCTGTTTTTAGTTGTATTGCACGCACTGAAGTACTCGGGTCTTCTTCGACAGCTCCTAGCACCACGTCTTCGTAAGGAAGGAAAGATCTTCCCTCACCGTGTGATTGGTTTGGTAGTTGGCCCTCTGAGAACAGTAAGCGGTGCATATTTGTGAACACTCGATGATCTGGATGACGAGCTGCATTCGGGTACCTCTCACAGTAAAGTCTCGCTGCAGCACTAGCGTTGCATCTGCATTCCCCATAAATGAGGTGCATGTTAGCATATTCTTGTACGGTGTACACGGACATAGCAGCACTGCACAATCACACTATCAAAGATAGTCTAAGGAAAGCAAATGTTGTTTTGAAGAGCAATTAAACAGTCCAAATCCAAATCACAAGCGATCAACAGTCCAGTTCACGAATCCAAAATTAGTAACAATTCGAAACCAACAAGCACGAACATGTAAAGATGCGCAGTAAACGAAGGAGTACTGATCGGTATCAAAGTATGCAATAGCAAGTAAGTGATGTGCTTCATCCATACCACATACAGCGTGTTCAACCTCTCCTGCCCCGGGATTATGAGCTCCGAGTTGCTTTTTGTCGCACAATGTTAGAAAGATCCACAGTTCTTTGAAAAAATTTTATGGTCGGATGAGACCACATTTAAGAAAGATGGGTACATGAACCTGCATAACTTACACGAGTGGCACGTAGCAAACCCACATTTGATGAAAGAAGATAAATCTCAATATCGCTTCAAGATAAACTATTGGACAGGAATTTTAAATGGTAAAATAATCGGTCCGTTTGAGTTCCCAGAGACTTTGACTGCTGAAGTTTATTTGGATTTTTTGAAAAGTCATGTATAAAATTTATTGGTGGACGTGCTACTGAGTATTTACAGGGACATGTGGCTGCAGCATGATGGCTGCCCAGCGCACTATGCACTCTCAGTAAGAGAGTATCTCGATCAAAACTTTCCAGGCAGATGGATAAGGTACAATACCGTGGCCAGCCCGATCACCTGATTTGAGTTCTTTAGATTTTTTGACTGGGGAACTGTAAAAGAAAAAGTGTATTACAAGCCGATTCAAAATGTAGCTGAGCTACGGCAAAGACTATTGGAAGCAGCTGAGTTTGTTAATAACCGTGGATTCGCTCGTTTAATAACCCGATCTTTTTTAAGAAGATGTCGAGCGTGTATTGCGGCTGAAGGAAAACAGTTTGAGCATTTGCTGTAAAGGTAAATCATCATCAGCAGCATTTTGACGCCCACTGTTGTGCAAACAGTTATCCTTAAGGGTCCATGTGCGTTTTCATAATCTATTTAATTAGGAAATTTTGAAATATTTTCATCAGTTTTTTTTCAAGTAAAAATTATGCATAAGTTAAAGAGTAATCTTCTAAGTGTTATACCATTTTGGAATCGTTATTAAATGCGCCAACTTTTAAGGTTACTTGCCAAACTCTCGTAGTACATTTTTTTCCAGTACAGCCAGTTAAAGTTGACCAAAGTTTTACTTTGGAAACTTGGTTGGGAAATAAGTGGCAATTTTTTCTGAACGAGAAAAGTTGGCAGTAAGGTTGAGACACCAGTTTGACGATGCATTATTCATCATTACATTGTAAAAATAGAATCCAAAAAAAGTTAATATTTGTAGTAACAGGAGTTGACAGACTGTCGTAGGGTGTGAAATTTCTATATCTTTTTCAAAGACCTATAATTTTCAAAACACATACATAAAATTTTTTTAAATATTTTTCTGATAGCTGTTATGACTTTGCCTATCACCCGGTTTCGGCTTGACGTCGATTTCTGGGACACCCTGTATATATATACAGAGTGACAGGAAAATAGATGCGGAGACAGTACAATCCAATCTAAGTCGATTTTACTATAGGAACTACTGTCCGAAAATTAGCCGTTTTCGAATTATACTAATTTTTGAGATCTTATAAAATTAACGTCCTTTATACGTTAACCAATTCATCAAATTTTGATGAGCAGTTTCCGAATCGATGGATCGGTGGAGGCGGACCAATCCCATGGCCAGCACGCAGTCCCGATCTCACACCTATGGACTTTTTTGTGTGGGGTCGCATGAAAACTTTAGTATACTCTGATCAAAATCCTGTACCCACAATAGAAGACCTCAGAAACAGGATAATACATGCAGCACAAGCAATTCAAGCTTGTCTTAGGAATTCGGCGGTAGTAAAATCAGCTGTCATAAGAAGAGCACGAAATAGAGGGCACCATATTGAAAATGTATTATAAAAATAAAAAATGTAGTCTCAAACAAATTATCCTGTTATTAAGGTATGATTTTGTAAATGTATTATTTTTGTTGCTTTTTCCTTCCTCTTATAATAGTCATATTTTTGCCAATTCTTAATCGATTTGTGATTTTTATACCTCATTTGAGCGGTAATGAAACGTAGGTTTTCTAATTATTTTGTACGAAAAATTTGTAAGCCACTTTTTCTAGTAAACTGAGGCTTTTGAGATGAACGAAGATTTTTTTAACAAAAATCGAACTATTTTGAAGCTTACTGCATGAGATAACGTCAATAATGTACATTTGAGTATCAATTTTCGTATTTTAGAATATTTTTATTGTAAAACAAAAAAAAAACAAATGAAACACCCAATTTTCAAGTTTTATGACTTGGTTAACGTATAAAGGACGTTAATTTTATAAAATCTTAAAAATTAGTATAATTCGAAAACGGCTAATTTTCGGGCAGTAGTTCCTATAGTAAAATCGACTCAGATTGGCTTGTACTATTTCCCCCAACCGGCTCCGCATCTATTTTCCCATCACCCTGTATATATAGATAGATAAATATGCTTTATTAACTGAAGTATACAATCATTCTAATTATATTAAAAAGCTTAGTTCACGGCGGAATATTTTTAAATTGTTAAATTCCTTTGACAGCATCAGGGAGACACATATAAATGTTCAGACTATTATAAATTATTGAGTCCTTCCCAAGTGTTGTTTTAGGTACTACTAATTTAGATCTTGTTTTCGTCTAATAATTTATATTTAATGTTTCAAAATTAGATTTATTTTTAAAAATGAGAGTTGCTGTTTCTAAAATAAACAATGGTACGATAGTCGTTTTGAGTTTTAAAAATAAAACAGTATAGCTGTCACTAATTTAAAATTTTTCTTTTAATGTTTAGTGGGCATCAGAGGTAGCTTGTCATATGCTAACCATCCATAACGAAGAAATGACCAGGCGAAAAGATTTTCAAGCGCAATTCGAAGGGCATTTTTTGAGCGCTCTGTTCCCCGGAATGGACGATCTGCCGCCATCGTTCGCAACGCAACCTCCTTCTATATTCGATAGCGCTCTACCAACAATCACCCAGGAGGACATTGAAAGGCTGAAAAAGGTATCAATTTTCTTTAGTTCCTATATTCCAAGCGAGATATTCTTATTAGTAAAAGATCGCGATTTGATAGTAGTAGTATTTGTCAGATACATAAATTGACTCCACCAGTAGATACCCAATCTAGTTGAAAGCCTGGTTCCTCACAATTTAAGCTGCAAAACATGTAGTTCCAGCGGGAAGGTGCAACTTGTCACACAGCTAGAGAAACAAAAAATCTTTTGCGAACAATATTTCCGGGACGTGTAATTTCTCGATTCGGTGGTGTCAACTGACCACCAAGGTCACCAGATTTAGTGGTTCCTGGGGATTTTTGAAAAATAGGGTTTATGACAACAAGCCAAATACTGTAGTGCAGCTGAAGAACAGTATTACGGAAGCGATTGAAAATATTCCTCCCGAAACCTACCAAAAAGTGAAGGAAAATGTAATCACGAGGGCTCAGGTTTGCGCGGCTTCTAGAGCCGGACATTCGTCTGATATTATTTTTCGTGCATAATTTCTATGCTTCAGTAAAAGATTAAATATTCAAGTTACAAACCAGTCAGTTATATATCGGCCATTATGTATATAACTCAGAATTTTGAACTTTTGGTTGTTGTTGTTGAAGAGTTATTTAGCATCAATGCTACAATGTCAATTTAATATAATGATTCGGTTACATATTTTTCTTCGATCTATTTTCCGTAATTTTACATTCCTGTTTTTAAAAATTAAAATTACGTCACTATGTATTTTGATTATTCATAAGGTGATTTTTTAATTTCACCTTAAACATTTTTAAATTCGAACTCTGAATTATAGTGTTATACACAATTTTTTTGGAATACATACTAAGATTATGGGAAACTCTATAGAAGTAACTTATCTTTTTCGATATTTTTGAAATAATGTATTCATAATGTTCGTGAAACAGTAGCTTACTATCCACATATAGACCTTGGGAAAAAACATTATTATACATTATGATGAGGAAGAGAGATGGAAATATACAAAAGTATGTAGGTGCGTGAAAGACACTCGATTGTAGGATCCTATCTGGCAGCGTCGGAGTGTGACGGACAACGGGGTAAAGTAGAAGAGTGATAAAAGAGAGATGGCAGAACGGGCGCTGCGATTTGTTTCTCCCATTCACAGAGTCTACCCAAATTTCGGGAAAAATAGCTGCGGATTCCACATAAGGGTATTCCAAAAATGAAAAACGTTCAAACTATTAAAATTGTATTAATGTTTCATGGTTCAAATCATATTTTTCATGTTTGTATATTGTTGTATAAATGATTTTGTAATCCCTATTCTTGTTGCCAGTAGAGATACAACAGTATTGAGAGAAATCATGGACCGCTAGATAGTGCTACAACTACCATATGACTATCAAATAGTAGTGATAAACAGGGTTTGTTTATAGCACAGTTGCCTGGTGTGGCGAATTTGCGCCATAGGGGCGATTTGACAACTTTGAATGACAACTATAACGGGTACTATGGTGCCCGGTATTCGGGAATCTGGCAATACCTGATGATTCCTAACGTTTATTACGCCAGATTGTTTGCTGACTTGCGCAGTACAACATGACAATCAACGTGACTGAGCACCTGGTAACCCTGGTTTAAGGTGTTATATTTAAAGAGCTTGGGGCAGTTAGGTATCTAGGTCACATTTTTTAATGTATTTCGAGAAATCCGTAATGTTGAGTGAATACTAGATCACGTTTCTTGCTTAGTTTGTTGAAAATTCTACAATAGACGTACATTTCGAGAAACAGAGATTTGGTGACGACAAAATGGTAAAAATATAACGCATTTTCGTAAAATAATTTCTTTGTTGAAAAGACTGTGGCTTGATGACCCATTGAACGAGGATAGTGTCCCGCTCCGCTTTGAATATTCGAAACACTATACTCCAGCAGCATTCAGCTTCAATGTTATCTTTATGAAGTTCTAACGTCTAGGCTATGCTGATTAAAAGCTTGAATGAATGAATCAACACTTAACTCTAAATTCCCCACAATTCGGGAAGCTTTACTCAAATTGGCAACACAGCGTATCTGCCTATTATTCTCATTCGTGATACAGGTCTGCGGTCTGCTGCAAATTTCAGTATGCGTTGAGTCGATAGAAGAAGTCCAGTAGATGCGCGCATTATGCACCAGTTCGATTGGACGTCCTGTGAACCGATTTCGGTGATTTCGAGATTTCACGAAATCACCTAAATCACTCTACTTATTTTTATGAATGGATAATTGGTTTTGTAGCAATAAAGGTTGCGTCTCATAGCAAAAATAAGAAGATACCCACTCTAACAAAAAATAGTACACTCTTAAAAATGTGTAACGAAAATAAAAAGATATTCTAACAAAAAAATAAGTTCTCAAAAATAAAACGCAATAATGAACACAAATGTTTCAAATGGTCCTTCACAGCTGGGGCTCAAAAACGTCTCCTTCATTGAATGAACAGTATGTCAGGCGGTTATAAAACTCCTGACGAACTCTCAAGAGGGTAGAAGGCTGTATTTGCCCGAGCGCTTCAACGATTTTCACCTGTAGGTTATGCAAATTGTCTGCTCTCTCATTGAAAGTGTAAACAGTACTTTTCGCATAACCCCACAAGAAAAAATCATTGGGCGCTAGATCGGGTGATCTAGGAGGCCATTTTATTGTTCCGTTACCGCCAATAATCCGGTGGCCGAACACACTTTCAAGGTAAGTGTGTACGATCGCCGCATTATGCGCCGGGCATCCATCTTGTTGGAACCAAATATTAGCGAGATCAATGCCAAGCTGCCTAATTGCAGGAACAATCTGCGTCTGTAGTAACGCCAAATATTTTGCAGCCGTAAGAGTTCCATCAATAAAGAACCGTCCGATAACGTTATTACCTAGAATTCCTGCCCACACATTCAGTTTCTGTGGATACTGCGTGCGGACGGGAATACTGAGGTGTTTATTTTCCCGAGACCAATACCGAACGACTGAAGGATTGTGATGACCGTGGAGAGGGAATGTGGATTCATCAGTAAACAAAATGTTACCAATAAAACTTCCATCCCTGTTCGCCTTCTCCATGACCGTTTCACAAAACTCCATTCGACGGTATTTGTCTAAAGGAAATATTTCTTGAACCGTTCCAACCTTGAAGCTATGATAGCCGTTGCGATGCAAAATATTTCTTGTTGTTCTGGGTGTGAGATCGGCTATTGGTACCATTTCAGCAATTTTTCTGCTTGAACATGGCTCAGATACTTCCGCAGCGGCACAAACAGCAGTTTCGATCTCATCCCTTTTCTCGCTAATTTTTGGTTGCCAACCTTCAGGGTGCATGCAGCTATGGCACTTATGTAAGCAGCCCACCCTCTTGAATTTTTCGTAGGTATTTATAACCGTTGCGTGAGACGGAATTGGCCGATCTGGGAAGCGTACCGCAAATAATTCAACAACCGCGCGTGCTGAATTATTCTGGATGTACCATTCTATCATTTGAAACTTTTCTTCTTGCGAGTACATTTTTAAGATATTTTGGATTAAATAAAGACGCACCTTTCCTACACAAAACCCAACCGCAGAGTGAGTCATGAATCCCTTATCGCACCTAACGACGGCACGCGCGTTAACGGTAGGAAATATGTACGAATAGCGATGAAAGTAGACGAGCCGATGCGCTGTTGCCAAGAAATGATTTCCCATGTATAACAATGGTTTTTCCTAAGGTGTATACCAAGATATTTAAATGACTCGACTACTTCAATTTTTTCATCATTAATCATGAGCCTAATAGTATTGTCACCTAATTGTTTCCCTATTGACATACATTTTGTTTTATTAGTGTTTAATTTAAGTTTATTGACTTTTAACCAATTCATATTTTTTTCAATGTCACTATTTAACAGTTCTAAAGCAGTATCCAAATGCTTATGTGCTATATATACTAGTGTATCGTCCGCAAATATTTGAATTTTGCAGTGTTCTAAAATGTCAGAGATATCATTTATATAAATAATAAATAGTAACGGCCCTAATTTACTCCCTTGTGGCACACTCTACTGATATATTTTGAACAGTTGACAATATTTCCAACTTCAGTTTTTTGACCTCTACTTAGTACATAATTTTGTAAAATATGTAATACTGATCCTTTAAAGCCATAGTGACGCAATTTCATTAACAATTTTTCTCTATCTATAGTCTCAAATGACCTTTTGAAGTCTAAAAATATTGTTACAATATATTCTTTCTCATCTATACTTCTTCTCCAGTCTTCCACCACCATTTGGATTGCCGTTTCTGCGGAACATTTTTTTCTAAATCCAGCTTGATTTTTTATCAAAATTTTGGTTTCTTCAATGAATTCTATGATTTGTTCTTATGTTATCCCTTCGTACAGCTTCTCGACATCGGGCAAGACATAATCGGTCGCATATTTATTTGTATACAGCTGAGAATTTTGAAGTTTTGGGACAGGAGTAATGGTGGAACACTTTAATTTTGATGGGAATTCACCATGTACTAAACAATGATTCACCAGTAATAATAATTTCTCTCCAATTATATTGGAACAATCATTTAGACTATTTTTTGAGAGATTCCCACTTGGATTTTTATTAGAGTTCAATTTTGAGATAGCTTTTCTTAATTTGTTGATGTTAATTGCCCTAAATTGCTTCATTGATTTACACTTTCTATAAAATAAATGTTCATTCTTTCTGCTATAATTAATTTGTCTGTCACTACCCCATCTTCGAAACGCATTTTAGATAATTCAGTCTAGGAGAAACAATATTCTTTAACGTTTTCCACATCATTTTAGAATTATTTTTATTGCTATCGATCTTCATATCATAGTATTTTTTCTTTTCCCTCCTGAGAACTGCTACACACTCATTTATTGATTTTGTATATTGTTTCCAATCATTTTCACTTTGGGTTACTGAACATTTTCTGTAGTCGTTATCTCGTTTCAACTTAGACTCCTTGAATATATGTGAAAACATGAGCAGGCTTTCGAAAAAAATATTCCACAGAAACGGCTTTCCAGTTGGTAACTGAGAATTGGAGAAGAGCCATAGACTCAGAAGAAGTTGTCATAGCAGTATTTTTGGATTTGAAACGATTGATAAAGATATTTTGTTAGGTAAATTGAAGGCATATGGTATAACAGGAAGTGTTTTAGATTGGTTTAGAAATTATTTGTCTAAAAGGATGCAAGTTACAAAAGTTAATGACACTATTTCATCAAAAATTGAAAATACGTTGGGTGTTCCACAGAGCAGTATCCTGGGACCATTTCTTTTTATTTTATATATAAATGATTTACCTGCCATCGTCAAAAAATGCAAAATTCAGATTTTCACCGATGACACTAAGATTTATATAAGTACTAAAAATATTCAGTCTGGTATCTCTTATATAAATGAAGACTTGAAGCTTGTGTCAAAATGGTTAGCATCTAACAGACTAAAATTAAATGCAAGTAAAACGAAAGCCTTGTTAATCGGAAAAAAGCAATGTACAAATGTTCAACTGAATATTGATGGTAAAGATATTGAATTCGTAGAAAATTTTAAATACCTGAGGGTTTTTGTTGACTCTCGATTAATTTTTGATATTCATTATGAAAAAGTTATAAATAAGATTAGTAGTAAAGTGGGATATTTATCGAGAGTTTCTGGATGTCTGAGTTCATATAGCAGAAAAATTATCTATAATACCATCATTCTTCCAAATTTCTTGTACTGTTCGACTATTCTATATTTAGCAAATAATTCCATTTTTGAAAGACTGCAAATTTTACAAAATAAGTGCATGAGAATAATACTAAATAAAGATAAATATACTCCAATTGGGCAAATGCTTAGCAAATTAAAATGGCTCAATGTAAAAAATTTTATCAAATATCTGATATTCATTTATAAAGTAAAAAATAATATATTTCCATCAAGTCTAACTAATTTAACATCATCAAATGTCGACCATCATTTACATAATACCAGAAATAAAGATGACTTCCATTTAATGACCGAAAAGTATAACATATGCTACAAATCTGTATTCCATCAAGGGTTGATTGAATATAATAAATTATACTCGGAGATAAAAGACCAGAAAACTTTGACAAAATTTAAAGTAAAATTGAGAAATCACTTGTTAAATCTACAATTATAGGTTGCCCAGCATTTACATCATACACCATATGGCTTGAATTTACTAGTTATAAGTTGTTTACAATTATTCTGTTTATGTAGCCAAATGTGCTAAATAAATCTTTCTACTACTACTACTACTACTAATTGTAGAACATTGGAGTCGCGAGTTGACATAACTGCCATTTGTCATTTCATAGTCAATCAAAATATAAACGCTTTTCACTAACGTTCTGCCGCTGTAAAAAGCAATTCCACGTACAGGAAGTACCGGATCTCGCCGACAATCTCATCATTCCGGACACGTCGGCGATAACGAACTTCCTATTGCGATCCGTTGCCGCGATGGCCGGGACGAGCGTGCGGAGAAGCATCGAGGGCAATCAGGACGTAGCCGTGGAGGACAAGCCGGACAGGACCGTGTACGAGGCTGGGCTAGGCAAGTATTTGCTCAAGGACGCGCCTGGAGGCAGCCAGTCGAGTTTGGGTACTGCGGAAGAAGCGACAGGTGGCGCGCCGATCGTACCGCCATTGAAGGATCTGGAAAAGTAAGTCGGTTATTTAGGGTTGTTGATCTCTATGCTCCACCCCCAGACCCGCTTGCAATGAAGCTACAGTAATGGACAAAGATATTGGGTTGCCGGAAAAGTCATGACGCTTTTTTTTGTTTATTTTAAGGCCATTTTATTCATATACAGCACAAACTTCAATCAATAATGTATTGCCCATTTTGATCGATGACCTTTCGCCATCTTTCAGGCAGCTTCATAATTCCTCGCTCGTAGAAGGATTTGTCTTTACCGGCAAAAGATGTACAGCTTCATCTGAAGTAAAGCGTATTTCTCGCAAGGAATTTTAAAGCGACCGAAACAAATGAAAATCAGATGGGGCAAGATCAGGCGAGTATGCTGGATGTGGTAACACATCCCATCCTAACTCCAATAACTTTTGACGAGTGAGCAAACTTGTGTGCGGTCTCGCGTTGTCATGGTGGAACACAACTCCTTTGCGATTAATGAGCTTCGGACGTTTTTGCATGATGGATTGTTGCAAACTGTCCAATTGCCGACAATACACAGTTGTATCGATGGTTTGGTTCTTTGGCAGGAGTTCGAAAAACACGATCCCTTTAAAATCCCACCAAACAGAGAGCATCACCTTTTCCTGATGACTCTCTGCTTTCGCGATCGTGTTACGCGTATCTACACTTCGGGACCAAGACCGTTTGCGAACCACATTGTTGTAAACAATCCACTTTTCATCTCCCGTTATCAAGCGCTTTAAGAAAGGATCGTTTTCCTCACGTTTAAGGAACATATCGCAGATGTCTACACGCGCCGTCAAATGAACCTCTCTCAGTTCGTGTGGTACCCAACGATCGAGTTTGCTTACGTATCCCAGTTTCTTCAAATGGTCGTGAACGGTTGAATGATGGATTTTTAAGGTTTCTGCAATTTCCCGTGTGGTGTAATGTGGGTTTGCTCCTACCAATGCCTTTAATTCGTCACTATCCAACTCAGTAGGCGGCCCTGATCGAGGTGCGTCATGGATATCAAAATCCCCATCTCGGAATTTTTTAAACCATATCTGGCATTGCCGTTCTTGTAGTGCATGTTCTCCATAAACCTTTCTCAACTTTTCACACGCTTGTCTTGCGTTCTTGCCTTTGCGGAAGTAATACAGCAAAATGTGACGAAAATGCACAGTTTGGTCGTCCATCTTCGTCCTCTAAAATCGACGAGACTGAAATAAATCACTTAATTTTTTGGTGCAAATGAAGCTTGAAGAGTCAACTGTCAAACTACACAATCAACATACAAATGTCATTGACTCACGTACTTCCAACCATGCAATTGCATACTTTGTTGCATATACGTCATGACTTTTCCGACAACCCAATATATAGACAAATTGATATTGTGCTGTATTTGCTTTTTTAACTTGTTTTATTAATATACCAACCTCATGCTATCTAATTGTTTGTTTGCTGTGATACTGTTGTCAACCATTAATACTTTTATGCAGTATTTTATATGTTTTGTTATCAAAGCTGTCTAGTAACGTGCTCTGTGTTTGTGTTTTTTGGTGACTAGTGCGATTCATGGAATAGTGTAAGATACATGCTAATTTTTAAAAAAATTAAATTTTACATTTATATCATTTTATAGTAGTTGCTATATCATAGTATTGTTTATTCTCATATAGTAGGCTTGTGTGACAGATTTTCATATCTTCTGGATTTTCTATGTATCTTTTTATTTTATCACTATAGTCAGCGGGTGCTGTCTTTGGAATTCACATTCTGTTGCACCCCAAACATGAGTAAATAAATAAATAAATATACTAAATTCGTTATAGCATAATACTCACTTATACATAAATAAATGCATTAGACTCCCTTAATTAATTGAAAAAACTAGAACTATGAAAGACAAAAATATATAGACAAAGCAAAACAATTATATAAAAAAGAAGCAATGTTCATTGAATTATAGAAAACCAACCATGTTTGTGTTAATATTTTGTAGCACAACCATTATTATCAATCACCGCCTGGCATCGTCTCGGCATAGATTGTAGAAGTTTCTTGATATAAGATTCATCAATCTATCTCCACTTTTGCTCTAAAGCGGCAAAAAGTTCATCCTTGTTTGAATAATTTTTATCTAGTATTTGCTTATCTAAGTATTCCCATAGATTTTCAACGGGGTTTATATCGGGAGACTGTGAAGGTCATTTGAGAACTGGTATTTTTTCATCCAGAAAGAATTTCTTTGCGAGATTTGAAGTGCGCGCCGGGTCATTATCTTGCTGGAAGATTGATCTTAAGGGCATATTGTCTTCCATGTAGGGTAACATGACATGCTTTAGTATATACAAACGTATCAATAATGCCATCTATTCTAAGAAAAGGTCCCATCTCAAACCCCGAAAAGCACCCCCAAACCCTAACAGACCCGCCTCCATGTTTGACAGTGGGCAAAGTGTACTTGGGGTTCAATCTTTGTCTACTAGGATGTCTAACGTAATGAACACCATCTGATCCAAACATATTGAACTTGGATTCGTCACTGAAACATACCCTCTTCCAGTCACAGATGCTCCAATCAAGATGCAACCGTGCAAGTTGTAATCGGTCCTTACTGTTTTTCCTCGAGATTAGCGGCTTCTTACTGGGGCGACGTGCAAATAACTTCAAATCATTTAATCTTCTACTTATAGTTTTCGTAGAAACACTGACAATTCCTTTTGTCTCGATTTCAGCTTTTATTTGTCTTGGGGTTTTAAACGGATCTTTGGACGAAATTACTTTTATTAATCTAACTAATCTAGCATTTAGTTTTCTAGGCCGACCACTTCTCTTAGAGGCTTCCAAGATACCTTTTTGTTTATATTTGTTCAATATTGCTCAAACTGCTTTACGCTTCAGCTTCAAATTTTTGGCAATGTCGACTTGACGTTGACCATCTTTGTATAACTCAATGATCTTAGTTTTCACATCGAAAGAAATTTCTGGACCACGCGGCATGGTCTTAAAATCACTCAACATATTCCACAATACTTGATGAACACAAACTAATCCTCTTCTGACACGAAACTGTACTAAACTAATGTTGAAAAGAATTTGTCTAGATATTTTTGTCCCTCATAAAAAAGTGCTCATATTCAGACTTGTATTGTGTTCATTGAAGATAATGTAAAAACAAGGAATTTAGTTTTTCTACTAATAATGCATTTGTTTATGGAGCAATCAAGTATGAATTCGTTTTCTAAAGGTATTTAGGTAAATATTCATATTTGTCTATATACTTTTGTCCATTACTGTACATTTAATATGTTTTTTCTGATAGACCAGGGAAATAAGCGTAAAAGACACCTAGACCAGATAGTATCATCATAGCAAGTATGAATCATACGGATTTGAAAAATTTCAAGTAGTTGCATGAAATTATCGTCGAATTACCAACAAATGCCAAAATCTGCATTTTGCCTCGTTTTTCGGCCATAACATTTTTGCTATTAGTCGGATCTTTTCAAGTGTGGTCTCATTTTGTAGGTATCATAAATACCTACAAATGTTGTATCAAAAGTTTTTTCGTTCCTTTTAACACTTTCGATTGAATCCCAAATAACACGTTTTCTCATTCTTTGTTGTTGAATAAAAAGTTTTCCCGCAAAAATTGGTGTACCCGTTTTATGCGTCCATGTTTTAAATACCCCGTTGAACAACTTGCACCAACAAAACCAAACTTTACAACCATTTTCTGCATAATCTTATTTAAAGACAGATCTACATGATCCTGGGACCAAAGGACTCGGCAATACGCCTATGTAAAAAGTTGTTTTGTTTAATTTCGCTCAATTTTTTATATGTTTGCGTCTTGTCGTACTGAACAAATGTTTCAATGATCACAGGCCACCAAAACTCAACGGGTCTCAAGATGTAAACCATCCAAGTCGGTAGAATGGTGTATCAGCCATACTCGAATATCTGCTTCAATCGGAAGAGTGGTTTCGGTCCATCAACAAAATTCACCCTTGCTTTTTTGTCATTTCAGGGGCTGTGAATCCGAGACAGATACCGAGGAGTTCGAGAAAGTGGGCCAGAGCCCGTTGGAGCTGAACTTCGACAAGCAGCTCCCGTCGCCGCAGACCGCCACCGCTGCCGGTACGACCACAGCTCCGCGGCCGGGCCCGCCGCACCACCAGGACGCCGCAACGTTGACTGAGGTGGGTGTACCCCCGAAAAAACCCCCCAGATGCTTCCACAGGTCCCCCGCGGACGGCGATCAGTTGGGCCATCAACAGCCCCCGAGCGAAGATGACTTTGCCGGCGAGGAGTACTACATCGACGAGAGCCTGCCTTCGAGTCTCAGTACGCATAACAGTCAGCACGGAGAGTACTACCAGCGACAGTTGGACACTGCGAATACGGTGGTGGCGCTGCTGCAGGTACCACCTCTCTTCTTGCCCCCCACCCACTCCAACTTCCGTTTGGTCACTTTACGCTTGTAGTCGGATGGAATTGACTTGAGATGGTTTTGAGAAATGAAAAAGTGGTTTTGTTTTTGGAATATTTTGGGGAAAGGACAAGCGGAACTAAAAAGTGAAGCAGCTTGTGCCGGTGGTTCCCACGTAGTAACGTAGGATTGGGTAGGTTGCTAGCGTTGCAATACTCAAGGTCGCACGTCCCTTTTTGTCGCTTTTTTTCAACTACCTGTTTACAGCAGTATTCTAAATCCTTCAAGAAAATAAAAGATTTTTCAAAAAGAAAAAGTGGTAAGAATAAAAGTAATCACCTGTTTCATTCTTCCATATAAGAGGAATATTTACACACAATTTCAGAGCTGTACTTATATTTGTTAACAAGTTCCGCTTGAAGAAGGAATGCACAATAAAATCCACAAAAAATGCATTTTTCGACAAAAAAAATTGAAACATTGTTTTTTAGTCAGCTCTATACACACCATGAAATTATCAGATGAAAAGGATTTAGAATAGTGCTGTAATCAGGTAGTTGAAAAAAAATCTAAAAAAAGGACGTGCCACCTCGTTCCTACAGTTATAGGACGCCTTTATGGCCTCCTTGATTTTTATAGTTTTTCCTGTCGTGTCCTGGCTGTTTCGTGTAAGCGCTATATTTTGAGGTTATATTTTCTTTTTGAATTCTAAGGAATTTCCGACTGATAAAACTTGATTTTTGTCATGTTTTATCAACCTGGAATTTCTTAAGGTTCAAAAAGAAAACATAACCTCACAATAGAAGAGCGCTCATGCTGACAATTATTGTAGGATGCGTTTATGGCTTCCTTGATTTTTTTTTTGTATTTTCTCTCCTCCAGAAAAGCTGGGGTATTTTTAGATTTCACCTATTCCATGCCAGCGCCAGCGGTCTCCCATTGCGAGGTTGTGTTTTCTTTTTGAATTGCTGGAAATTTCAGGCTGATAGATCAAAAGAATGAACAATTTGATGTAAATAGATATTTGTAACATAACCTCAAAATAGAGTTCTGACACGGAACAGTAGAAAACTATGAAAATGGATACCATAAAGGAACGACTGACGACGATACGGCCCTAAGACTCCCTAGTAACCCAATATATTCCTATGCCTGTGTAAAACATGCATCCGTAGTTCACACTTAACTCGTTCGTTTTTACTTCTTGCGCCGCTGGGCGAGGAAGCATTGTAATCGCGAAAAATTTGGTGTGGCGCGGCAGTAGCAGGAGCGTCAACACGGCCACCGTGTCGTCTATTTCCGATGTTTGGGCTTTCACACTTCTCCTCTTTTGCTTGCTGAAGGAAGCAGAAGAAATGGAACTGTAGATACGCTCCTTGACTCACTCAGAAATGCGCTATACACTACAATGTTCAAGGATGTGCTGGCTATTGGGGAGCCTTAAGCCAAAGATTAACGATTGCTGCAAATGGCTAGACGTTATATCACTGTTTTGTACGAGGGTCGTCCCAAAAGTAGGGTTCCCAACGATGTATAAAACTTGATTTTTATCATGTTTTATCAACCTGGAATTTCTTAACATTCAAAAAGAAAACATAACCTCACAATAGAAGAGCGGTTACGCTGACAATTGTAGGATGCGTTTATGATTTTCATTGTATTTTCTCTCCAGAAAAGCTGGGGTATTATTAGATTTCACCTATTCCATGCCAGCGCCAGCGGTCTCCCATTGCGAGGTTGTGTTTTCTTTTTGAATTGCAGGAAATTTCAGGCTGATAGATCAAAAGAATGAACAATTTTATCCAAATAGATATTTGTAACATAACCTCAAAATAGAGTTCTGACACGGAACAGTAGAAAACTATGAAAATGGATACCATAAAGGAACGACTGACGACGATTCGGCCTTAAGACTCCCTAGTAACCCAATATATTCCTATGCCTGTGTAAAACATGCATCCGTAGTTCGCACTTAACTCGTTCGTTTTTACTTCTTGCGCCGCTTAGCGAGGAAGCATTGTAATCGCGAAAAATTTGGCGTGGCGCGACAGTAGCAGGAGCGTCAACACGGCCACCGTGTCGCCTATTTCCGATGTTTGGGCTTTCACACTTCTCCTCTTTTGCTTACTGAAGGAAGCAGAAGAAATGGAACTGAAGAAACGCTCCTTGACTAACTCAGAAATGCGCAATACACTACAATTTTCAAGGATGTGCTGGCTATTGGGGAGCCTTAAGCCAAAGATTAACGATTGCTGCAAATGGCTAGACGTTATGTCACTGTTTTGTACGAGGGTCGTTCCAAAAGTAGGGTTCCCATCGCTGTATCTTTGCCGCGCGGGATGCTAGGCGAAATCTGGCAACACCGTCGTATTTGTCGGCTCTCCCACGACCGATCCCAACAATAAGCGCCTATTTGCGATGCTCAATACAGGCCCGCAATGGAGTTTATTTTTGGCTCTTAGGTATTATTTCATAATGTACTCGTAAAATGCAAACAATTAAAAAACGGACTTACCACTAACGCTTCACCTGGTGTGTGAAAGTTTATCGAACGTATTAAAAAAATCCACTTATAAATAGGGAACACAATTTTGATATATACATTGTTTTTCTTTTTAAAACCCACACTGCACTTTTTTTGTATTTAAAGGCGTTCAAAATTTTGTCCTCCACTTTCCACACAGTCTTCATTACGACGAACCCAGTTTCTTGTTACTCTAGATCCACGAAGTTGTCCATTTATTATTTCAGCCGCATTAAATTTTTTTCGCGAAGTTGTGCTTCAGTTGTTATTGGACCAGCCCCATAAACCCTTTAAGTTCTCCCCAATACCAGAAATCCCTCGGATTGAGGTCAGGAGATCTTGCTGGCCATTTTCGAGGATCAGGAGCATTTCGACCGATCCAGCGATTTGGATAATGTTCATTCAAATACTGAATGACGCCTCTAAAAATGTGTGGTGGTGCCCCGTCATGAAGAAACCACAAATTCTGTCTCCTCTGTGGGAACCTTATTTTTCAAACAACCCTCGTATGTAACCATCCGCGCTAACTTCAAGTGGAACAACACTCCCGATTGTTGAGTTTTGTTTATTCTGTAAATTGTAACTGCAAAAATCGCAGTACGATATCAGCCACGTAAAATTCGTGCTACATATTAGCTCTCAATAGCTCTGTGTGTTGCCTACTTTAAAATCTGACTCTGCTCCAGAAGTAAACTATTAACTGAAATGCCATTATCTTGAAGTTCCAAAAATAAAATCGCTTTTCAGTATTTCCAAAAAGCCAAATGCTTTGTTTAGCTAATTCTGTCCGACTATTGGTACAGACGAGTAACAAGTTGGTGGTCGTTAGTCCAGCCATTTAAAAATCTACCTTAAAATATCTACGTGTTTTTCTGTTCTATGATGTTTCGATATCGTCAATATTGTATCACAACGCATTATTAAAAACGTTGTTGTTATTAAAAATGCAGCCGAAATCGTCATCTGGCGGTCACCGGGCTATCAATCGCGGAGTTTTGAGAAGGTTGCATTTAAAGAAATTTTTTTCGAAATACTTTGACAAAACAAATTTATTGAGACCGTTTAATTACAATGGCAAATTAGTAAAAGCGGAATGCTAATAGAGACTCTCGGTATTCTATATCCGCACGTGGATGCAATTCCAGTGGCGTAGCTCGCGTACTGCAGTCTTTACAGTTAAAGCTGATATCTGCTATACATTCTCACAGTGGTAACAGATTTGTTCTGACATATGATTTCATAGGAAGCTTTGGTAGCAACCTGGCGCTCGCCGATTCGAATGTCCGCCTCAGATGCTCAATTCCGAGCCACCGATGTTGCGTTGTGTGTTGTCTATACAACGCACGTGGTTGCAATGTCGACCATCGCTGAAGCTGGTTTATTATATCAGTTACCAGTAGCTGGTTCGTGGAGTAGTACAATATTGTCAACGATGGCCAGTCTACTGCTACAACTTGATAGAGGATAGTTGCTATGCGCTGGTTCCAACCTCTTATGTATACTAAGTGACATATAAATCCGAACACCCAGTTTAAATGGTTTTATTTTAATAAAATTTTGTATAAGTACTTAATGAAGCATAATAAGTAAATGATAAAAATTTCAAAATGATTGCACTGCTTTAAAGCCCTTTGACCTTTAATAATGTGTGGATGCACCCTGATGTGCTACGCATTCTCCAACGCGCCTAGGCATGCTTCTGATCAGGTGGTCAATGTCCTCCTGTGGTATCTCATTCCAGGCAACCACCAACTCCTCTCGAAGTGCTTCTAGAGTCTGAGGAGGACGTTGCAAATTGAGCAATCTCCTACCCATCATATCCCACACGTGCTCAATTGGGGATAAGTCGGGAGATCTTGGTGGCCATGGTAACAATGTGACATCATTATTTTGAAAGAAGTCTATTGTGACTCTTGCAACATGTGGTCGGGCATTATCTTGTTGGAAAGTTGGATCTGCCAGGGTGTCAAGATAGGGTAAAAGATGGGGTTCTAGAACTTCGTGGATATAACGCTGTGCGTTCATGTTACCTCTGATGAAGATTAAAGGTGACCTGGAACCATAAGCTATAGCACCCCAAACCATAACTCCAACAGTGTGATGAACATGTCTTTCAACAAAAAACTGTGGATTCCTCCTTTCACCACGTCGCCTTCTAACCCTGGCACGACCATCGTGCATGCCTAAACAAAATCGAGACTCGTCACTAAAGACAATACTGTTCCATTCCTGATCCCAGAGTGACCGTTGTCTGCACCACTTAAGGCGATTACGTCGGTGTTCTCGAGTTAAAGGGAGGACCCAGTGTGGCCGGTATGAAAACAAGCCAAAACTTCTCATTCGTCGGTAAACACTTTGCATGCCAGTAGGTCTTCCGTGTTCTGCAAACCATTCATTTGCAATGGGCCTGGTAGTGGAGAAACGGTCCCTTAAGGCCAATAATCTTAGGCGGCGATCTTCACGGTCTGTTGTTCTAGGGCGGCGTCCAGTGCCCCTTGCTCTTTGCGTACGGCCTTCTCGAAGCCATGCCTGACAACACCTAACCGCAGTGTCTACACTTCTTTACACTCTAACTGCAATTGCCCGAAAAGAAGGTCCAGCTTCCCGAAGTCCCACTATACGGCCCCTATCAAACTCACTAAGTTGACGAAATCGTACAGGTCTCCGTACTCTAGGCATCGTAACCGATCGTAAAGGATGTCAAGAACCAAAATCCGCCAACGTTGATTCTTTACTGCGGCTGAAATATTCATTTTTAGAGCGTTCGTGAATTAAAAAAAGCAGTATAAAAACCGGAATGTCCAACTGACAAGGCTGAAATTTTTTTCACTTGTTATTTACAGTAAGATAAATACATTCACTAACTTTTATTAAAATAAAACCATTTAAACTGGGTGTTCGGATTTATATGTCACTTAGTATATTTTGCACTTTTACTCGGAAATTGTGACACAATATTTCGGTACCAGATCTTTTTTGAATGCCGAAGAACGGTAGATATTATTTTTAAGGTAGATATTCAAGTTGTTGGAGTATCGTTACAGATCAGAGCTGGTCGAAACTTGACATTTGAGGGTTGAGTCAAGTCCACGCTCTACCTACCCAAATGTCGTAGTGCGGCCACTAGGTGGCGTGCGCTACGTAGATAATGACGTACTGTACCCAGGTGCAATATGCATTAACTTATGTCATTTTGAAAGGGTAACGTACGAATGCATCTTCTAATTTCACCTAAATCTGACCTGTGACTTGTCCACGCTCATCCACTGACTGTACTGTTCGAAGACTGCTGAAGTTATGCTGCTGAATCTGATGCTGCACTTCCACTATTGTCTTTTGGTTTGTTTCAGTTTGTGGATCCTTGGTTCTTTTTTAGGTTTTTGTTTTTTAGTTTAGCTATGGAGGTGTGTTCCAGATCTGCTCGTATTTAGTTAGGACATACAAGAAAAACCAAAATTGTCTGACGGCTTCAAATCAACGTGTACACACAAATGGGGGGTGCGACCTTTTCGTTGGGCCACTCTGTATAACGATTACGCGAAACGTCTAAAATGTGAGAGTCCGTCTAGACTAGATTATCGTACAGACAATTTTGATAGTAAAATGTCCAGAAATTGTAGTTTTTATAGCATTGGTCGTAGGACTAGAATTTACAATTGAATTGTAGTGTATCGATGATAAAAAATATAAATACAAAGGGTGCTATAAAAGTTTTGCAATACAGCCTTATTTATTGACTTCAAGCCCTTAGAAGGTAACTCATTGCTAGAAAACCTTTTTCCTTTTAGCTTCATTTTTACATGCGGAAATAGTGCAAAGTCCCAGAGAGAAAGATCTAGATTATAAGGAGGGTGCTCAATAAGCTTCAGTCCATTACTGGGTGCAGGCTTTGGCGTTGTCATTGTAGCGGTACTACGTATCCAGGCACTGTTCCGTGTACCACTTAGCTGAGACTGTCTTCTGTGTGTCCAAAACGACATGCTCCATAATCCCTCTCGATTTGAAAAATACAGCTATCATTTTTTTCTTAACAGATCGCGTATGTCCTCATCATCAAAGACGCAAACTTTGTCTTGAGCCTTGGTCGGCACATTGTAATAATATAACCAAGTCTCGTCACCATTGCTGGTGCATGAAGGTGCAAGGTCTCCTCCATCTGTTTTTATGTCACTCTCCGGTCTTCGTCAAGCATTTTCCTCGCAGCAGCAATGTTATTCGTTCGCGGTCTTCCCTCTCAGCGTCCTCCAGAGTAAAATTACCTCTCTGGAATTCCCTGTACCACCTGAATATAGTCGCACGATGAGGAAAATCATTCTTTAATGCAAGCGTCATTTCTTCTGAGCCCTTCTCTAAGCTTAAACCACGCGTAAAATCATACAGTATCACTGCCCTCATCTCACTACGTGACCTCGATGCCATAGTCCGCGCTTTACACTGTCAATACGAATGAACAACTAAATCAAGAGACGTGCTGCTGACGGCTACTATGCACTCATGGACATGCAGCCTCCTGCGTCCGTTTGTTAAGTCATATTGCAAAACTTTTATAGCACCCTTTCTACTGATTTATTAGCAAAGATACAAGATTCGCAATATTTTGTACGATGTATTGAGCGATCTGATGAATAGCTTTTATATTAAGTATTGTTAAGATATGATATGACTGCAATGCCGAGAGATAACAAATAAACGTGAAAAATGAATCAACGATAATCTAATGTCTCTTATTTTGAAAAAAAATCACCTTGATTCTTTTGAGGCGTTTATAGATTAATAATGTACCCAACATATACTAAGTGACATATAAATCCGAACACCCAGTTTAAATGGTTTTATTTTAATAAAATTTTGTATAAGTACTTAATGAAGCATAATCAGTAAATGATAAAAATTTCAAAATGATTGCACTGCTTTAAAGCGCTTTGACCTTTAATAATGTGTGGATGCACCCTGATGTGCTACGCATTCTCCAACGCGCCTAGGCATGCTTCTGATCAGGTGGTCAATGTCCTCCTGTGGTATCTCATTCCAGGCAACCACCAACTCCTCTCGAAGTGCTTCTAGAGTCTGAGGAGGACGTTGCAAATTGAGCAATCTCCTACCCATCATATCCCACACGTGCTCAATTGGGGATAAGTCGGGAGATCTTGGTGGCCATGGTAACAATGTGACATCATTATGTTGAAAGAAGTCTATTGTGACTCTTGCAACATGTGGTCGGGCATTATCTTGTTGGAAAGTTGGATCTGCCAGGGTGTCAAGATAGGGTAAAAGATGGGGTTCTAGAACTTCGTGGATATAACGCTGCGCGTTCATGTTACCTCTGATGAAGATTAAAGGTGACCTGGAACCATAGGCTATAGCACCCCAAACCATAACTCCAACAGTGTGATGAACATGTCTTTCAACAAAAAACTGTGGATTCGTCCTTTCACCACGTCGCCTTCTAACCCTGGTACGACCATCGTGCATGCCTAAACAAAATCGAGACTCGTCACTCAAGGCGATTACGTCGGTGTTCTCGAGTTAAAGGGAGGACACAGTGTGGCCGGTATGAAAACAAGCCAAAACTTCTCATTCATCGGTAAACACTTCGCATGCCAATAGGTCTTCCGTGTTCTGCAAACCATTCATTTGCAATGGACCTGGTAGAGGAGAAACGGTCCTTTAAGGCCAATAATCTTAGGCGGCGATCTTCACGGTCTGGTGTTCTACGGCGGCGTCCAGTGCCCCTTGCTCTTTGCGTACGGCCTTCTCGAAGCCATGCCTGACAACACCTACACTCTAACTGCAATTGCCCGAAAAGAAAGTCCAGCTTTCCGAAGTCCCACTATACGGCCCCTATCAAACTCACTAAATTGACGAAATCGTACAGGTCTCCGTACTCTAGGCATCGTAACCGATCGTAAAGGATGTCAAGAACCAAAATCCGCCAACGTTGATTCTTTACTGCGGCTGAAATATTCATTTTTAGAGCGTTAGTGAATTAAAAAAAGCAATATAAAAACCGGAATGTCCAACTGATAAGGCTGAAAATTTGTTCACTTGTTATTTACAGTAAGATAAATACATTCACCAACTTAAATTAAAATAAAACCAATTAAACTGGGTGTTCGGATTTATATGTCACTTAGTATATTTTTTAAACCTAAATTATTAACTGAATTTTGTTATCGCATATTTATTTTTCTGTTATCTCTGGTCATTGCACTCCCTAATTTTTTATTTGCTGTATTTTTTTAATTTTTTTCTAGTACTCGATGAGTTGGTGGCCCAAACTGACACGTTGTCATCTCTTTATGTAAAGTTCCTGCATGAATGCTGCATGGAATATCTTCAATTCGTTATCTTCAAAATTTGTTTTTTTTTTGCAGGACAACTTGCAAATTTCTAGGAGCGAACACGAGAAGCTGAAAAGCGGTCTCCTTAAAATGCAAAGCTTAGCGAAAGAGGCAGTTGGGCATCTGAAAAACCAACTAGCAGACTTAAAAAATAATATGACGAGTGATATAGTGATAGTTAACGAAGATTTTTTCAATACCGGTACAGGATTCAAACATAAAATTTTGGAGTACGAGTGTAGGACCAATGAAATTTTTGAAAATTTCAAAAAAGAACAGACTGCCATTACGCAAGAACTGAAAAGTAGAGAAGAGAGCAATCTGAAAGAAATTTCCGAGTTGAAAGAAGCGAACGAATCGTTGCGAAGGCAGATTGAAGATAGTGATAAATCCATTAGTGAGTTGAGACAGGGTATGGAGGAAATGAAAGAGAAAAGCGAAGCCAAAATTAGAGAGTTAGAAAAACATTTGTCGGAAAAAGACAAGGAGAAGGAAAAGGCGGTGAAAGAAGTGAGCGATCGCTTTATCCGAGAACACAAAGCGGAAGTAGAAAACATCAGATGTCGTTTCAAATTGATGACGATGGAACGCGCACCCTCGGAATCTAGTCTGGAAAAGTCTGGGGATTACAGCAGCTTGTCGAGTCAGACGACGCTCTTGGCGCAAATGGCGGAGAATTTTGAGTTGGATAAGGAAAAGGCGGTGAATCAGGCTCTAAAGGAGGAGAGGGAGAAATGGGAGAAGGTCCTGGCAGCTAGAATCAAAGACATGGAAAGACATTTTGAGGAGGATAAAGATTTGATGTTGCAGGAGGTTGCTAGAAGGGTGAGTTTTTAGCACTGTTGTAATAATAACACTGGACAACAGATTTTAGTTTTTTAATTGTATCTTGTGGAAAAAGTGCACTTCTTTGTTAATTTTGGTTAGTTGCGGTTTAGATAAAAAAAATTATTTTTAAGGATATATTAAAAAAAGTAACAAGATTCATATACTTATAAGAATCACTATATGCGCTGTCTTTTTGCTGTTCTTTTATGGATCGTTTCTGCAGCATCACTACCAAGAGTCCAACAGTAGTCTGCAAGCATGGAAGGATTCCACTTTCCCTGGTACCTTTTTTCCATTGTTGAAATATCCTGATGAAAACGTTCGCCGTGCTCATCACTTACGGCTCCGCAATTGTCAGGAAAAAAGTCCAGGTGTAAGTGTAGGAAATGTATCTTAAGAAACATATTACAGCCCAACTTTTGATACGATGACGGCATATTTTTGACAAGGGTTTTATAGTTGTCAGCTTTTCTATTTCCCAAGAAATTAGTGACCACCAGACGGAAATCATTCCAAGCAGTTTTTTCAATACCTGTTAAAGTGTTTTCAAACTGTGTATCTTTCAAAATATTTCGAATCTATGGCCCAACAAAAATACCTTCTTTAACCTTTGCCTCACTTAGTCTTGGAAATTTCTGACGCAGGTATTGAAAAGCTGACCCATCTCTATCTAATGCCTTGACAAAGTTTTTCATTAGGCCCAACTTGATATGCAGTGGTGGTAATAAAATTTTTTTCGAATTTACTAATGGCATATGCTGTACATTTTTTTGACCTGGCTCTAGGAATTGACGAACAGGCCAGTTTTGTCTGGTGTAATGAAGTGCCTTTGCCCGACTGTCCCATTCACACAAAAAACAGCAAAACTTTGTGTAGCCTAGCTGCAGCCCAAGTAAACAACTTTCAAATCGCCACAAATATGCCATTGGTGCTCATCGTATTTTATGCATGTCAATAGGTACTTCATATTGTCATATGATTCTTTCATGTGAACTGCATACCCTACAGGAAGAGATGGAAAAATATTTCCAATATGCAATAACACTGCCTTTAAACTCAATGTTGAACTGTCTATAAACAATCTCCATTCTTCTGGGTTATAGTTTATATTTAAAGCCGCCAGTAAGCCGTTAATGTTACTGCAGAAAACCAAGTTATTCTCCATATTGAAAAATGGTCTTTGTGGCGTTTACGAAAAACACATACCGAAACATCGTCTTCTAACAAGTTCCACTGCTGCAGTCTTGATCCAAGTAACTCTGCCTTACATTTTGGAAGTTCTAAATCTCTTACAAGATCATTTAATTCTGACTGTGTTATTTTGTGCGGTTGGTGGCTGACGTGCTCGGTATAAAATCAGGATCTCTTGACGTAGATGGCATATCTTCTTCCTGACGAATCACTCTATCGCCATGATCTGATTCGTTTTCTGATTCGCAAGTGTAGGATTCTGGGGGTTTTGGAATAGGATTTTCGTCACTGTAAGGCACAGGTCTCATCGCAGATGGTATGTTTGGATAGTTAATAACCGATTTTTTTTTTCTTGGACATACCTGTGGCTTGTCCAACACAAGGTACCATGCAAAAGTAACAATCATTAATATGATTTGTAGGCTCTCTCCAAACCATTGGGACAGCAAAGCGCATAGACCGTTTTATGCCATTTAACCAGCTCCTCAGACTTGAAGCACATGTATTACAGCAGATGTGGGGTGCCCACTGTTTGTCTTGATCACCTAGTTTGCAACCGAAATAAAGCTGATATGCCTTTGTTATTAGTGGAGTAATAGACCGTCTCTGAGACGCAAAAGTCACATCACCACACACGTAACAAAACTGATCTGGATTGTTTACACACTTTCGAGACATCTTGCATGAACGCTGTCAGCCAACTGAGGAAAAAATGGCTAATATAAAACAATATAATGTACACGTATGTATAACGTAACACAATCATGCCGATTACAGCATCTTTCCTTGCCGAATATAAAAATGTAGCACGTGCATTCTTGTGAATTACAGTATATTAACACTGTCACAGCAGGAACACATATAATTACCGTATCTCTAAAACTTGAACTAATATTGAAAAAATAAGTTTCATTCCGGTTTTAGCACATTAAAAATAGTAATATTTTGTTGATTTTATTTAGGATATTTTTTGGCTGTTGATCAGTGTAATAAATGGGCTTTATTTCATATAAAAGTACAAAAAAGGCGAAGTGTCGCTAAGAGTAGCCTTAACGTTTAAAACAAAACAAAACAAAAAAAAATATGATAAATTACAAGGATAGTCCATATTTCCTGCATTTTGTGTTCATCATCAGGCCTCGGCGTAAAGTTTTAGTTTAAGACTCTTCTTAAAATTACATACCCATGCTCTATGTAATGTTAGTTGCCTAAATTACCAAAAAATAATAGACATAACGTTAAACTATACAATTTATTCGTCAATATGTCTAATCGCTACTGCTCAAAGCTTGCTAAAAAAAGCATTGCTTAACCACTGTTTTTCTCTCGGATAGATAATAAATTAGTTTGTAAGTTAAGTGTGATAGCGGCTGTAGCTGGTGTCGTGTGACGTCATCACGCCCCAACAAGATAATTCTCTAAATAAGAAACGTTTTTTAAGATAATCAAAAATTAAAAGTGTTTCAAAAAATGCTTGACGCCATTTTATTTTTCCTCGAGTAGGTTTCTGACGAAAAGGACAGACAAATCGACGTTCTGCGCGACCGAGAACGCGACTTGATCCTCGAGTGTTCGAAACACAAAAGCACGATTCAACAGTTGACTGAATGCAACGTCGAAAGCTGTGAAACCGAGCTGCTGGAAATGCTAAACGCGCTGCAAAGCGATAAAGATCGCCTAGAAGAAGAACTTCAGCGTTTGAAGTTGGAGATGACTGGATCTGTCAGCGTTTGCGAAGGTAAATTTGCGTTTTACGTAACCGTCAACGTAGATTTTGATGCACGACCAACGTTCACGTAAAATTTCCACCGTCACAACCATGTTATCATGTAGCGTCGCAGTAATAGGCTGGTTGACTATTTTTTTAAACAGGTTTTGGATAGTTAGTATTTGTTCTATTTGACCAAAAAAATTATAACTATAGTTTTCGAGACCTACAAGACCATAAATTTTCAGTTTAAAAATAGATTTTTTCTTAGACAGGCAACAATGTTCGGTCCATATACGAGATGTCTTTTAAGTTTTGCATATGGAAATAAAACAACACGGTAGGTAGTTTTAAATGACTATTGTTTTTCCAGGTATTCTCCACGAAGATTAATACACATCTGCATGCGCTCGAACCAATTTTCGAAGCACTTATTCCACTCGTTTGCTGGCAGATCCAAAACGGCATTTTTGAATGCGTCAGCTGCTTCTTCTGGTGACTGGAACCTTTGACCACGCAGTCTGTTTTTAATTTTCGGGAAAGTAAAGAAATCGTTAGGACTATATGGAGGATGGTCAAATAATTCCAAGTTTTCTTCCGTTAAATACTGCCTTGTTTTTTGGGCTGTGTGCGAGCTTATATTGTCTTGGTGGAGGATGATTCTTCTTTCGGGGTTGATTTTTCGAAGCTCGGTGATGACTTTTGGTAAACAAATGGCGGTATACCAATCCGCAGTAACAGTTGTTTGCTCATTAAGAGGAATTGTTGCAATATGACCCGCTTTTGACACAAATGACTATCTTTTTCGAAGAAAACAAAATTTTAGTGGAGGCGCAAGCAGGCTTTCGAAAAAAATATTCCACAGAAACAGCTTTCCAGTTGGTAACTGAGAATTGGAGAAGAGCCATAGACTCAGAAGAAGTTGTCATAGCAGTATTTTTGGATATGAAGAGGGCATTTGAAACGATTGATAGAGATATTTTGTTAGGTAAATTGAAGGCATATGGTATAACAGGAAGTGTTTTAGATTGTTTTAGAAATTATTTGTCTAAAAGGATGCAAGTTACAAAAGTTAATGACACTATTTCATCAAAAATTGGAAATACGTTGGGTTTTCCACAGGGCAGTATCCTGGGACCACTTCTTTTTATTTTATACATAAATGATTTACCTGCCATAGTCAAAAAATTCAAAATTCAAATTTTCGCCGATGACACTATGATTTATATAAGTACTAAAAATATTCAGTCTGGTATCTCTTATATAAATGAAGACTTGAAGCTTGTCTCAAAATGGTTAGGATCTAACAGACTAAAATTAAATGCAAGTAAAACGAAAGCCTTGTTAATCGGAAAAAAACAATGTTCAAATGTTCAACTGAATATTGATGGTGAAGATATTGAATTCGTAGAAAATTTTAAATACCTGGGAGTTTTTGTTGACTCTCGATTAATTTTTGATATTCATTATGAAAAAGTTATAAATAAGATTAGTAGTAAAGTGGGATATTTATCGAGAGTTTCTGGATGTCTGAGTTCATATAGCAGAAAAATTATCTATAATACCATCATTCTTCCAAATTTCATGTACTGTTCGACTATTCTATATTTAGCAAATAATTCCATTTTTGAAAGACTGCAAATTTTACAAAATAAGTGCATGAGAATAATACTAAATAAAGATAAATATACTCCAATTAGGCAAATGCTTAGCAAATTAAAATGGCTCAATGTAAAAAAATTTATGAAATATCTTGTAATGATATTCATTTATAAAGTAAAAAATAATATATTTCCATCAAGTCTAACTAATTTAACATCATCAAATGTCGACCATCATTTACATAATACCAGAAATAAAGATGACTTCCATTTAATGACCAAAAAGTATAACATATGCTACAAATCTGTATTCCATCAAGGGTTGATTGAATATAATAAATTATACTCGGAGATAAAAGACCAGAAAACTTTGACAAAATTTAAAGTAAAATTGAGAAATCACTTGTTAAATCTACAATTATAGGTTGCCCAGCATTTACATCATACACCATATGGCTTGAATTTACTAGTTCTAAGTTGTTTACAATTGTTCTGTTTATGTAGCCAAATGTGCTAAATAAATCTTTCTACTACTACTACTACTACTTCAAGAACGGATGACTTTTGTTGGCTTTTCTTCACCTTGGAACACCCAAACAGCCGACTGTCGTTTATTTTCTGGTTCATAACAGTAAATCCACGATTCATCACCACTAACAATGCTGTGCACATTTTTTGAGTTTCCTGAATTGAAACCGTCAAGCGTTTGTTGACACCAATTAACCCTGGCTGCTTTCTGCTCTTCAGTCAACAGGTGGGGTATCCAACGAGAAACTAATTTTCTTACTCCTAATTGTTCATGTAAAATTTTTTGAATTGAGGTCTTTGAGATCTTCAAGGACGCCTCAATCTCGGGATATGTCACAGGTCTATCTTCAATGATGAGTTTGCGCACAGAATCGACGTTTTCCTGGGTGACTGCCGTTTTTGGTGCACCCACCCTGGGATCGTCGCTAAGACTCGCCCGTCCACGTTTGAATTCTCCATACCAACGGGAAATTGTCGACTGATGTGGCGCTTCGTTGCCGAAAACAGACAGTAACTCAGCAAGGCATTCTTGTTGCGATAATTGTCTCTGAAAGTTGTAATAAATTATGGCGCGAAAATGTTCTCGGTTGAGTTCCATTTTTCTAATGACTTGAATTTAAGTTTACTAAAGAGTGAGGTTAAGATTCAGTTCTGACTTTCGATCCGCGCGGCCTACTATGTTTCTATATGCAAAACTTAAAAGACATCCCTCGTATCAATGTGCTTTGACGTCATACCATTTGTAAACAACAGCTGACAGCAAAATTACTCACAGAATCGTCTGTTAAATGTGTGGTACATACTGTATAAAATAAAAAATATGTTTTTTTACACTGGACTTTTATATCCATCTTGGGCTTTTAAAAATTGAAATCGAAATGTTTCGTTTTCCTAAGCCAAATAGTGTAAGGAATACTCATTTATTCTATGAAATCAGATATTAGTCAAGTAGCCTATTCCTCAGCCCTTACACAAAAATGTTCGAACGTTACAAAAATTTTCGGACGTTATCTAATTTTAAGTAAAAGTTTGTTTATTTTTGTAAGGTTAAAAATTGAATAATGAAAATGAATATACTATTGTTTGCAGATCATATTAAAACTGTTTCCAAGTAATGTGATATTTAAACATAAAATAAAACTAATCGTGTTAACAACGCAACATTTTGCTGACACGATATTAAAAAGAAAATAATAGCATTTTGGGATATCCTGTATTAAATTGGATCAATTGTTCACTGAGAAGCAGTTCTTTCCCTGAAAATTTGAAATGCTCTACAATAACACCAGTTCCCAAAATAAAAAATTCTAAAAGATGCAGCGATATGAGACCAGTAAATGTGTTACCAGACATTGAAAAATTATTAGAGTCCATAGTGCATGACCAATTAATGCAGAAAACAAAATTTTAGTGGAGGCGCAAGCAGGCTTTCCAAAAAAATATTCCACAGAAACAGCTTTCCAGTTGGTAACTGAGAATTGGAGAAGAGCCATAGACTCAGAAGAAGTTGTCATAGCAGTATTTTTGGATTTGAAGAGGGCATTTGAAACGATTGGTAGAGATATTTTGTTAGGTAAATTGAAGGCATATGGTATAACAGGAAGTGTTTTAGATTGGTTTAGAAATTATTTGTCTAAAAGGATGCAAGTTACAAAAGTTAATGACACTATTTCATCAAAAATTGAAAATACGTTGGGTGTTCCACAGGGCAGTATCCTGGGACCACTTCTTTTTATTTTATACATAAATGATTTACCTGCCATAGTCAAAAAATGCAAAATTCAAATTTTCGCCGATGACACTATGATTTATATAAGTACTAAAAATATTCAGTCTGGTATCTCTTATATAAATGAAGACTTGAAGCTTGTGTCAAAATGGTTAGCATCTAACAGACTAAAATTAAATGCAAGTAAAACGAAAGCCTTGTTAATCGGAAAAAAACAATGTACAAATGTTCAACTGAATATTGATGGTGAAGATATTGAATTCGTAGAAAATTTTAAATACCTGGGAGTTTTTGTTGACTCTCGATTAATTTTTGATATTCATTATGAAAAAGTTATAAATAAGATTAGTAGTAAAGTGGGATATTTATCGAGAGTTTCTGGTTGTCTGAGTTCATATAGCAGAAAAATTATCTATAATACCATCATTCTTCCAAATTTCTTGTACTGTTCGACTATTCTATATTTAGCAAATAATTCCATTTTTGAAAGACTGCAAATTTTACAAAATAAGTGCATGAGAATAATACTAAATAAAGATAAATATACTCCAATTAGGCAAATGCTTAGCAAATTAAAATGGCTCAATGTAAAAAATTTTATCAAATATCTTGTAATGATATTCATTTATAAAGTAAAAAATAATATATTTCCATCAAGTCTAACTAATTTAACATCATCAAATGTCGACCATCATTTACATAATACCAGAAATAAAGATGACTTCCATTTAATGACCAAAAAGTATAACATATGCTACAAATCTGTATTCCATCAAGGGTTGATTGAATAAAATAAATTATACTCGGAGATAAAAGACCAGAAAACTTTGACAAAATTTAAAGTAAAATTGAGAAATCACTTGTTAAATCTACAATTATAGGTTGCCTAGCATTTACATCATACACCATATGGCTTGAATTTACTAAGTTGTTTACAATTGTTCTGTTTATGTAGCCAAATGTGCTAAATAAATCTTTCTACTACTACTACTATTAAAGTATTTACAATTTGACGTTTTGATTTAAGAATCAATTCTGCGAATCAGTTTTTTTTAAAATGTCGCGCGGTAAAACAACAGACGGTTCAATCGGAGTTTTAATCAAAAAATTGTTTCATCAAGGAAAGAGTTTTCGGGATATTGCTAAACAAATAAATGTCGCAAAGTCAACGCTGGCAGATATTGTAAAAAAGTATGGAAACACAGGTTCAAGTTAAGTTTCAAGACACGGTGTTGGTAGGCAACGTAACATCAGTCCTAGAATGTAAAGATCTCTTGTTCGTATTTGTGAAGCTAGTCGTCGAGGTAATGTAAAGAAAATAACAGCAAAATGGAATGAAGAAACAGCAGGAAATGTTTCACAAGAAACGTGCCGTCGGTGGATTCATGAGTCTGGTTTAAGTTTTTATAAGGTACTTAAAGGACATATTTATTCCGTGAAATCTCTGCTTTAGAATAAAGAAAAGCCGTTGCTCACGGAAAAACAAAAGGAAAGGCGATTTGCGTGGGCTAATGAGCGGGAAATACTACAAATTTAACTGTTTCTAGACGAAGGTCTTCCCTTTGTCAATGAAGATCTGTATCATCCTGCTCTGTATTTTGAATTTTTAGGTCGCAACATTACACGTGTCTTTGAATTGAATAATTACCCCCGATACAGTTTTCGTCGTGCAAACTTCCTAAATTGTACAATGCCATTGCAACGATAAATTGGTTAAATTTAGAGGATGTGATATATAATAACATTTATCATGTTTTCGATAAAAATGTACCTAAATTTTGCTATAAATCTCGTAAGTTTCCTATATGGTTTACTAGGGATATCAAGAGAAATGTGAAGAAAAAAAATAGAGCCAGGAATAACTGTAAGCGTACAGGCGATAGCTATTATAATGACAAATTCAAAGCATTACGATCCACAATTAAAATCCAAATTTATACCGCCTACTCAGCTTATTTACAAAACACTGCCTTCAATAAAATATTAATTGAACAAAACTGGAACTATGAAGGACAAAAATATATAGACAAAGCAAAACAATTATAGAAAA